ATACTGAAAATTCTTTTTCCATTTTTATTACATATTTAACATTTCTTCCATATAATAGTTTTATTATTAGCAGGCATATCAATAATGTCTATTAATTTAATACCATTTTTCTCTGCTAATTCTTTTAAATCTTTAATATCTCTGAGACCCCAACTTGAATCTTGAAGTCTCAAATTTATATCAAAATTAACATTACTTGTAGGCGTTATTTTTCCATTTATAGCATAAGGTCCATATGTAAATAAAATAGCATTATCTTTTAGCAATTTACCTGCATTGCTAAATAAACTAATAGAACATTCATAAGGTGAAATGTGCATCATATTTGCATTGTATATATAATCAATACTGGCTTCTTTAAAAATACCATTGCCCCAAGTATGAAATTCTGTTGTAACATCTATTCTCAGAGGATCTTTTATATTTGCAAATTCAGTTGCATAAGCGGCAATACTTTCTAACAATCTCGGTTCATATTCTGAAGGATAAAATACAATCTGAGGAAAATGAGGAGCAAAATGAGCTATATGCTGTCCAGAACCAGATGAAATTTCCAAAAAAGTTTGATCTGGACCTGGTTGAATATATTTCTTAAGAACAGACAGAATTGGATCCTTGTTCCGATCAGCTGCAGGATAAACAAGTTTTTTGGCAGCCATACTACTGGACCTTAAATTAGATTTTAACATATTACTTGCTGCTCAAGATTTATATACTGATAATTATTTTCACGTTTTATATTTTTATTTAATTATTAGGTATGATTTGTTCATTACACATATTTCTTTAAATGTTATACTAAGAAAGAATAAGTATAAATCTTACCTACGATTGGCGGCAGAACGGATTATTGTATTCATGCTTTACTCGTTATATTGATTTTACCTTCTGACCTGAAAAATGTAAGTATAAACTTCACAGACTATCTTACAAATTATGTGTATACTATTATTTAGAATTATTATATTAAATATAGCATATAGAAATTAAATTTATGCTTTGTATAAAGTAATTTACATTTACCATTTTTTGGCATTAAATTCATGTTATGTTTTAAATACTACATTAAGTTTACTATAATAAGTTTTTACATAAATGAAATTCAATTTTATTATCATTTCTTATACAAATATAAATTTCTCTTCTAATTATGTAGTAATAATAAGGTATGGATGTATACAATGCATATAAAAGAACACAATTCTGCATGATGATTTATTAGATATATTTATTAACTGAATCTTTCACATTCTTTGAATGTGTACTTAATGTGAATTAACTACACTAAACTGAAGTAAATAATACATGAATTATCTAGCCTAATTAGTGACTCCTTTTATCGCCGTTTCCCTTGCTTTTACTTGATTTTTCTTGATTTTTCTTATTCTTTATTGAATTTGGTATATATACCGAATGTCCTGTTTTCTTCAAATGTTCAAATAATTTATTTTTACTAGGAAATTCAGCTTTACACGTAACACAACAATGTGCTAGATCGGAAACTTCTGTAACTTGTGACCCCTTTTTACTTCTATTTTCACTTTCTTTTTGTGATTGTTTCTTTATATTTTTAGGTTTTTTACTTTTAGATTTTTCATTAATTGTACTATTTATTTCTAAATTGTCAGATAACACTGCTTCATTTGTTTCCATTTCCACTTCTTCTTCATGGTCCTCTGTTTTGTCATTAGATGATTGTTGATTATTTTCTAAACCTTTACTTAACATAGCTTTCCTCTTTTTTTGTTCTTGTTTTTTACGTTGTTTTTTTGATAATAATATATCTTCATTAATACTAATGTCTTCATCACTAATCTGTTCTGTTACTGGATTTTGAACATTTTTTCTTCGTTTATTCTTTTTCTTTTGTTTTTTAAGTTGCATAATTTCTTCATCTTCTTGGTCAGAAATAAGTTCATCTTCAGAAGTCATATCCGTATTGTCATTTTCAGTTATTTTAGGTGGTATGTAAAGAACATCATTCATCTGTGGTCCTACAGCAAATTTGGTTCCCTCTGGATAATATTTTGCATCTTTTGCTTTTTCAAGATCATCAAAATCTTCATCATCTGATATTAATTCTTCTTCTGATGTTTCTTCTTTAACATTACTTTTATTTTGCACAGGATTTAATAAAAAGTCTGGCATTTGTGAATCAGTTGCTAATTTTTTTTCACATTCTGAACTTGATTCAGAGCTAACATCACTATTTTGAAAACTTTCAAATTCTTCATCTTCTTTTATCATAGATGCTGTCATAACAGCAATATTATCCTTGTGTTTCTTCGAATTTTCATGATTTGCAAATGCTTTATGTGTTTTAAATATTTTATTACAAGCTACACAATACAGAGAATTATCATCTAGTGTATTTTCGTCATATATATCTCCCTCAGAAGACAAATCTTCACCAAATTCTTGATCAAGATTAGCTTCAATATTTTTAAGTTCTGCTTCCACATTTACAAGTTTTAACCACTCTGATACTTCGTGTTCTTTTAATTGTTTTTGCCTTTCTAATAATTGTTGCTTTTTCCATTCTTCTGTTTTTCTTAAATTTTCTTTTGCACGCTCAGCAAGCATGTTTACATGAGCTTGCACTCGTTTATCACGTTTACGTACAAAAGCAACTAAATTTCTTACCTGTTCATTTCTTTCTCTTTTAGCTTTATCTCTAACTTTCTTATTTTGTTTCTCAATAAGTCGTACAATTCGTCTATTAGTAGTATTTCTTGTATCATAAGGATCTAACCAAGCAAATGACCGTTTTGTACTATAACTTTGCCAATAAGCATAAAAATTATGAACAACTTCTTCATATGAGCTTTGTGAATTTCCAAATCCTGGTACTTCTTCATCTGAATCTCCTTCCTTTGCAAATTCTGTATCTTCAACTGTCAACTTTTCAAACACATTACGGTAAATAGTATAAAATCCTTTTTCATCATCTCCATATCCTTTGAAGCAAGTGGTTGAAAAATATTGGAAAAGATCAATAGAATCATCTTGATAATTTTCACCAATGCCACCTTTTAAAATAGCTTCGCGATGGTTATCATACCAAGCACGTTCATGAGGATCACTTAACACTTCCCAAGCCTGTTGAATAATTTGAAATTGTTCCTTTGCTTCTTCTGAATTATCTAAATTTTTGTCTGGATGCCATTTTAATGCAAGCTTTCTATAAGCTTTTTTTAAGTCATCATCAGAAGCATTTTGTGGTACCCCCAATACCTCATAATGACATTTCATTGTAGTAATAAATAATATCGTTTATTCGCAATAATTGTTATATTATTTCACGTAATATAAAGTTATATATTTATATATATATACACACATATATATCATATGCTAAAACAAGATTGTTAAATTGATATTGAGACAATAAGAAATATACATATGTGTAAGAGTTTCTTTTATCACATTTTATAACCTATATAAGTTAATATAAGTTACCAGATGTAAAAGATCTTCTTTAATATTTATTTACATTGGAATGTGATCAACATTCACCATCTTACAATATAATTATATCTTGGAATAACAAGATGTAAGTTTCAGGTTATGTATTTTGACGTAAAAGGTATACATATGGACATCATAAAGTCAATTTTGTTTCGATATCTTGTCACGTTTATTTCGAGATTTATGACCTATATTTTAAAGTTACATATGTAGGTATATACTCATATTTGTATTTTTTAACTAACCTTCTAGTAACATGCATTTAAATGAACATCATTTCTTTTTAAATATCGATGAATGGTCTTTCGCTATTAAATTATCAAAAACTATATAATATTTAAAGATTGATATATTTTTACGTATTTTTCTTAAATTTTATATCAATAAGGTAGATGTATAATCCATGTGATTATTCCAATAGTAATAATGCTAACCTAATAAATCAAATGATTTTTTAATTAAAACTTCTCTGTCTTCTATGACATTGTACGGTACCATGTGAATACGGTTTTATGTTAGATGGCTCCACATAACATGGACTTCGGCGCGCCAAATTCAGACTCTCAATTGATGCAATCGAAGCACAAACAAAAGCTTGTTAATATATTTACGGACTACTACTTAGTGACGCTCACTAAATGTCGGTTACATGGTATCGAACATCGCCAACATGTAAAACCACTCATTCTTAATGAGCTAGCAACCAATCAAATGACTTGTTAGATAATAAGTAGGGAAACGATTTATATTATTGGATATTAATATTAACAAAAGCCCACTACATAAGATCTTACGTCTTGATGTCGCTTGAGCACTCACTCGTATTTTAGCGCCAAAATAGATTAGTCGCATTATCTGAGTAATCCGATTTTGTAAATTCAATTAGTAAATTAGTTTCATAGCGCGGAATAATTTTCCTTTTATTTTTATTCAATCTTTCTTTAAAATTAAAAGTTACACCAGAAGAGTATCGAGATTTTTTTTTCCATCGAGATTAAAACTAGATAAGCAGACGAACGCAAGCAGAGTGGATCAGCGCTGCACGGGCGGGGAACCCATCCTTTGTACAAAAATCCCTATAACGTCACGCAACAATATAAATGTTCGAATAAAATGAAACACGTTGTAACCCTTACTTCACTTTACATCGAATTAAAGAGGATTTTACTAGGGATCTTTTGACGTGGAACAGCTGATTGTATGCGTTATTCGTCCGACTATTCTCAATATCAAGATGGCTGCGGTTGTGAGAGTGCAGTAAGGGTTGTATGATTTTTGGCATATATCGCCAGTTACGACGTTTGGAGCCGTTGTCATTAATATTCAATATTTCCGGTAAATATTTCTATGTTTCTTTATGTAGAACATGTCTTAATTTGTCAAGATATTTACATATAAACGCAATACAATCAAAACCCTACAAATTGTCAGTGACATCTCGTGAACGTGATATAGCAGACGCCTCTAATTGCTTTTAATAGGTTTTCTTCGAGATCTTAATGTATCGTGTTGTTGCGATGGCCTTTGTGGTAGATGCTTGTCAAGCCCTTTTTGCTATGGACGAAGAATTCATTTGCTATCAACGAAAATATCTGCTATTAATATCGATATAACACTGATTATTCTTCAACTACTTTATAACAAGGTTTTGTCATTTATTTATTACGGGATTATTTTATTGCATTATGAGTTAACGACTTGCTTTGGGTTGTTTCTTTGAATTACTGTTATCTTAAATGTTGTCAAAGAAACGTATGCTATAAATTTAACAATTTACATTTTACATTTTTAAAAATAAAACGTGTGCATAGCCTATATACTGTTTTTATATTGTCAAAACAAAAACATTTTTGACTAACTAACAAATTCATATATTGCATATTCTTGGAAGTATTCATTTTAAATACAATTATATTTAATTAAAAATAACAGTATTCTGTCCTAACATATGAGTAAATCAACTTTATAAAATTATTCATTAATTATTAATATAAATTTGTGATATTTGTTGTAATAACTTTTGTAATATACATTTAAGAAATAAATGTTTTATTTAGATATGTAATAAATTTTATATTTGCAATATCAAAATATTATTGCATGTGCAAAAGTTTATTTTTCTTATATCACAAATCAAATATTTAGATGTTTTTGGAAAACATCAAACTTACATGTTGTTATTATAAAATTATTTCCATTAAAATATGATATAATACTATATATTGTGTATATTTATAACATTTTAGTCCGTTTTAATAATGTTTCAAATAAAAATTACTGA